AACTCTTACAAAGCAATTCACTTCTCCAAATGTCTCCTTGAATCAGGGTTACAGAAAGCAAATCACTTCTCCAAGTGTCTCACCACAACCGATGAACAATGAACGTTGAATGAACGAATGAATGAACGTTGACTCCTGCAACCAGGGCGTGGCACCATCCGTCCTTTTATCACCAGACGACGCCACTAAGGAGCCCCAGCTGCATTGTTAATCTTGCATCCCGACTCAACTCACAGCAAACTTCTGCTGAGTCACAACATAGCCTTCAAAGCTTTTGGCACAGTTGCTTTTACACAGCCAAGCCTTGAGAAGGAGACACACTGGCTGGGCTACCAGATCTCCCCCCCACCCCACCCATCCCTGTGATGGACTGTAGTCCAGATTCCCAGGAAGAAAGGAGTGGATTCCAGAGGAGCAAGAGACAAAGCAGCTTAGAGAGCTTGTGTGTGAGAAAGAGGGTGAAGTCAGCTCCTCCTTAACGGTTCCCAGAGTCTCTTCTGTTTTACGGCTTTAGCTTGGCAAGGTTTTTATCTACGGGTGAGGAACAATAAGTAAATCTTCCTAAAAAAATCTCTTTTAGTGCCTTTCTTGCTTTTTGGAGACTGACATCACCATGAAGGTTCTATTTTTTGGGGGGTGCAGGCAGTAATGGCAAAGTCAGATAGCGATGTAGATAAAATCAATGCACCTCTGCAGGCCTGGGGCTGTTGACCCCAAAATATGGTCCAGCCCCCACTCAGAATGGAGTGCATGGTGTGCTTTTTAAATCTATCTTTTCTTCTCTTCTCTTCTTTTTGATTTATTGTATTGTCAGCCGCCCGGAGTCCTACGGGATTGGGTGGCATATAAATGTTATTAAACTTATAAACTTCTAAACTCCTCCAGATGTTTCAGAGAGCAGCTGGGCCACGCCCTTCTTTTGGCACTCACCTGGCCTTGGTGGTACCATTGAGAGTAGCCTGGCTGCCCCTCCAGATGTAGATCTCAAGGCCGTGATCCAAGAGGAAGACAAAACTAGAAGGAAGAAAAGAAAAGGGGGAGCGGAGAAACGTTTTTTTTTTTTAACATAGCCAGCAGCATTTTCCCAGCCACCCCGCAGCAGCCGACGGAACTCAAGGCTTCAAAAGGCGTCTGCTCCGCGTATTTACCGAGGATCTAAAGCGGTTGCTTTCAGAGGAACTGGTTCCAATTTGATATTCTTCTTTCCATAAACACGGTAAAGCCTGCGTTGAAATTGCAGAAACAACAGTTTGATCAAATCCACTTTGGGGACGGGACGGATGGACGGACGGACGGAGAAAACAAGAAATGAACATTGTGCAATTGATAATCATCTCTCTCCTCTCCTCTAAAGCCATTCGAAGAAGGAGGCATTTGAAAAACAAGAGGCTGGAACAATTCCTGCAGCCTCTTCAAAGGACGGATTTGCGATTTACAAGTTGCCATCGCAGAATAATCAAGCTAGAAATGTCTACAACTGGCAGGGTTCCAAATAGCCCCCAAAAGTAAATCAAGAGTTGAAGGCAAAGTATTGCTCACAGCTCCAAATTATTAAGACCTTGCCCCCACACCCACAAGCCCATCCCATGGTCCAATCATCCACTGCCATGCTTGCATTTCTACCTATCCAGTTCCGGCCAGGTGCAGAGACAAAGGATGACCTTGGCTTTCTAGAAAGAATGTTGTTATGGCTACATAGCATCTAACTCCTACAATTCCCTCCTCCCATTTTCCCAAATGCGTAGTAGAATAATAGAAAGTGTGGCAGGCC